TCCTGCTGTGCTTCTGCTCTGTTAAATGTTGCTGGCAAAGCAAACGTGAAATCAGAATTGTCAGCCAAAAAAACAATTGTAGCTCACAGTGAAAAAGAAAACATACACTCCCCTTTGGCAAATCCAGTCTTTTCACATCTGCTTAAGGGGTTTAAGCAACATGTGGACTCGGCCAAGGAAGGGTGTGTAGAGCCTCAGTGACGATTTGCTGCCGAATATTGTCATTTCACAGAGGCAGCTGTACTTCGTGTCGCAAGTCACCACGACACAGGGTCATTAGGTCTTTGCTTAGCTGAGATCTATCCAGGAACTTCACTTCTACCCTAGGTACACACATCTAAATGGTCTAACTACCATGCTGCTATCTCCAACCTTTCATGCACCAGGGCATCTTTCTCCCTAAAACCGTGTTTGCAGATTATTAATAGTTAGTTGTTACATTAATACATTAAATTAATACTAGAGACAGAATCCCTCCTTGGAGCTTTTATAGGTAAAATTCGTTATATGCTACGCTGTTGGAAACTCATGTCTTTAGACAAGTGACATGATTTCTGATGGATTAGACTAATTCTTAAGATAAGGTGATAAGCTGAGTTTTGCGTTCTTCACTCAGGCCACTGACCACAAAATATTATTCACACCTTAAGCTATTTGGCATAAGAAGATTTCAGGAGCTTTCTTATCTTCAGTTTTTACAACATGAAAAATCGGTGATAGGCATCCCTCAGCCCAACATCACCGTTTTGGTTCTCGGCACCTCGGGGTGGCAGAAGACAGCTCCCTGCTCAAGCATTCAGGGCTTTTGCCTCTTAGGAGGAGTCTCCAGAGTGCCAGGTGAGGGTGAGCCCTTTTCCACTGGAGCTGGGTAGCAGTCACAAATCACTTTTATGTGGGCCACCAGCCAGTCATTGTGTGGGAAGTACCCTGAATTTCTATCAACACTAAGTTTTAATCATTTCAGCTATAGACCCGCATTCTGCATTTCAATTGCTTGAATTTACCCAGATTTCTTTCTTTTTTTCTCTTGGGGCTCTATTTTTCCTTCAAAATCAACTAATTGCTCACATTCCTGCCGTTCTGCTGTGTAACAGAATCATTGATGCTTTTTTGTCCTTCCGTTGTATTTTTTTAGTGAATTCCTCGTGCATGCGATGCTGTGCATCCCCGTAGCATCTTACCGTAGTACTTTATTTTCTGAATGGAAGAGGTTTGCTTTTGCAAGCCTCTGTTATTACCACTTTATTTCATCATGCCTGGTTCTAAGTACTAAAATAGGACATTTTCCTGTTTCTATAATGTCTTGATTCTTACGAGTTCTTGACTGTAAGGCACCATGGATTTTGTTGACAGTGCATGTCCTGTAATCTTTTTCTGCATTTTGTATTACTCTAATTTTGTTTTCCACATCAGTAGAGCACCAAAAAGCCCCTGTTTCTCAGAGCCTTTAGCCAGGCATTACAAGTGGTGTGGCAAGGTAGCCCGCCTGTCCTTTTTTACGGCAGGGAGGTCCAGGTCACTCAACCTCAAGCATTGGTGCATGGGGATCATCTATTGGGCTGGGGATGGGAGCTGTATATCTTAATTAAGTGACTGAAATGCTCAGTGAAAACCATGGCTTTGTCCCAGGGAAGAGCTGGTGGTGATCTTAAGGGGGGGTTCCTTGAATCCGAGTCGGATCTGCAATGAGCACGAGGTGAGGGAGGCAGCAAGGACTCCTACGTAGCACCAAGAATGAGGGCACCGCTGAGGAACTTGCTACCCAGAAGTAAATTTTTATCCTGTGGTCACTCTGCCTCTCTCTTAGGAGAGTTTGAGCAAAGATGAGGGACCTGGGAAGAGAAGTAGAGCAGTTCAGGGCGCTAAGGATTGAAATAGCTACTTTGAGTTTCTACAACTGCAAATCTGGAGTGGAGATCAGATATTACTTATCTTTACTCACTAATCTAAGTAATCCTCCTTATTAGGAGACATCTACTCACAGCTGTGGAAGACTGGAAATGTTCTTGGAACGATGCAGACTTTATAAGTGCAGGTTATAGAAAGGGATTGATGCTTTTGTGTGGTGTTTATTCTTGAAAAGGTGAACTTTGGCTTTCCAGCAAAGTCCCAAATCGCCTCAATAAAAGAGCTGTGTTGAAAGCTTGAGAGGGTTGTTGAGGACAAATGTTTTACAGTTCAGTCTCTCACAAGCACTGAGGAAGGACACGAGTAGAGATTGACGGTCGTATCGTATTGAACTGCGGATCAATGAACCCTTGAACTGTACCCTACTACAAGCTTTACGGTCTGAACATTACAGGAAATGAGTTCTTTGGTATCTATCTGGGTTTGGAAGTATATAGTACACTCAAAGGTATACTTTGATACGGTATATCTCAAAGTATAATGAGGTTGATAAAAGTTTTGAGTGTATCAGTGTTTATAATTGTTGAAATAATAGCTATGTAATGCCAATAACTTTTTTTTTCCTGATAGAAGAGAACGTTTTTGTTGTTATCTTTGTAGACAATAAATGAAGGTACCCTGGGAGAAATCCATGCTGGAGGTTTTCTGGCAGCTTCCCTTGTACTTTTTTATGACTTTGAGGAGGATGGGAAGCGCAGGTCAGGTGCTGGGAGCCCAGCCTCCAGAATGCCATGGCCCTCACTGCTGTATTTTTCCCGAGGGCAGGCAGGAGCTGCCCGGGAAGCTGCATCTTTCACGTTCCTTTTTGATGTCTCCAAACTTCACAGAAAAAAGGTCGTTACGTGATAGCAAGCGTGGGGATTGGGCTCAGTCTACTGCCTTATCTATAAAGTGAAAGCGGCGTAGCAGCTGTAGTCACTAGCAGTCAGAGCTGGTGCGCAGACGACCCTACCCGGTCAACGTTCATTCTATCCCGTGCAATTTAATGCCGTTGTACCACCTCTCTGGAGGGCAGGATTTGCCCCGCAGCGCGTGGCCGGAGTTGCCCGTCGTTGCCGACGTGCGGAGGATGTCGCGAGGGAACGTTTTTCGGATTCCGGCTGGGGTTTCAAGTTACGGTTTTTATATTTGACTGCTTTTGTGGCTGGAAACTTTTTTGCCAGCTGTCAACTTCAGAGCAAGTGGCAATCTGCCTCCTCAAGCAAATGTGGTCTCCGTGTTTATTTTTGGTTTTGTGTTTGTTATACTTATCATAGGTTAAAAATCCGGGCGTAACATCCTTGACCCTTTAGTAAGATACATGGTGATCACCTTTTGTGGTTAGAGTATTAACTAACTTGCTTCATGCAAGTGCAAATAACAGAAAGTCCTGACCCACGTAATGACTCGATCAGCTTAGGACCTTAGTAACTGAGGAGGTTTCGTGTTATGGTTTCCGCAAAACGAGCAAAGGGACTTTTTCTGTAATGCAGAGACTGAGCGCGATAAAGGGTGGCGGGAGATGAAAGTAAACAATTATTAACGTGCATTTTCTTCTTCTGTCTCTCTTTTTTGTTTGTTCTCGAACAGATTGAAAACATAGATGCATGCCTGAGTTTCTTGGCTGCTAAGGGAATTAACATACAGGGGCTGTCAGCAGAAGGTGAGTCGATCGGTTGTTTAAAATTACATTTTAAATGAGGAAGCTGAATTACTGCTTGTGATTGTAACCAGCACATGGAGTGTAATGGAGCTTTAATATGGATCAAACTTTTGACAGTCTTTACACCTTTTTTCCCCATCTCAGTATGAAATGTCAGTAAAATGGATATCTAGTCTCTGTGTATCTGACTTGTAAAAATAATCAATGAGACTGAATTAGAATTCTTTGTTTCTTTCTGTTCAAAACCAGACATTTCTTGTCCAAGTTCTGTAATTGGCACATCGATCAGAGTGTAAATTTTACAGATATTTGAAGTGAACTGCTGGCGGTCGTTTGCCTTTTGAGAAAGAAATCATTTATTTCCTTATTCTTCAATTATTCTCTTACCTGAGGAAGTATCCCACTTTCTTTTCTTTTTTTCAAAGTTTGTTTCCAAATGCGTGAAACGGTAAAATTCAAATATTTTGAACCAAAAGGAGAAAGATATTTTGACCTCTAATTAATCACTCTGCTTTTGAAAAGCACCAGAATTTTTCTGAAACCCACATGTGAGTCAGTGTACTATATTCCTTTATGCCAGTGCATGATGTAAGTCAGGATGTATGGTACCTTTTGTCTTGGAAGCTGTTTAACTGCTGTCTTAAGAGATCAGACAGATTTCTGTCATCCTCAGAACCAGCTTTCACTTATACTTTCATTTAAATGTGCTGGAAAAGCGATTGGGTTTGGTCGCTGCTAAGGCAAACTTCGAATATATCACAGGACATCTCCTTCAGTGTTCCTCAGGACAAATAAGTGTTTGTGTGGCATCAGGTGAGACTTCCAGTTAGATTTGGTGACTCTGTCTTTGCAAACTTAGTTTTGAGGAGGAGGCTATAGTGTCAAATCGTGCACGTACTTTTACGTGCGTGACCCTGTATGTTTAAAGCCACGTTTTCCTCCTCTGAAGGGATCCTATAGCTCAAACAAGGAAGGCAAGAACGGATGAGTAGATGTGGTGGGCTGACCCCGGCCCGGCAGCTAAGCACCAGAGGGAATAGGAAGGGCAAGAGTCAGAAAACACGTGGATCAAGATGAAGATAGGCTAATGCGTGAAGGAAAGAGGAAGAAAAAACCAAAACAAGCGATGCAAAGGCAATCGCTTGCCACCTCCCACAAGCAGACAGATGCCCGGCCAGTTTCCGAGCCATGGCGACCTCCCCAACATCCTCCCACCACCCACCTCAGTTTTTATTACTGAGCATGACGTCATATGGCATGGGATACCCCCCAAGGATATCAGCTGGGGTCAGCTGTCCAGGTTGTGTCCCCTCCCAGCTTCTTGCCCCCCCTCCAGCCTGTGCACTGGGGGAAGGCAGTGTGGGAAGAAGAGAAAGCTTTGACGCTGTGCAAGCATTGCTCAGCAATAGCCAAAACACGGTCGCCCTGTCAACACCGTTGCAGTCACAACTCCAAAACCCAGCACCATGAACTTTATGATCATGATTTAAAGTCTTAGCTGAAACGCACTTTCCCTTATGGCTGGTAAATGATGTTTATGAAGTTTACTCCAGATAACCACTGTGGATGAATTTTATGGAGAAACCATCATGTATGCAAGTTTTATATATGTACATTACATTTTAAAAATATTAGAAAAATATAAAAACTTTCATAAAGTTACTGTGAAATTAAAGCTATTATTTTTAAAAAACTTATTTAAAATTACAATGTAAAACTACATTCTGACAGTTTGGAAAATAGCTTAAGGAATCCCTTGCTGTCCTCGAAAGGAAGCACTTACCTCATCCTACTCTATGAGATCTTACAAGCCACTTGAAAACACGTATTTGAAATGTAATTTCACTAAGTTTGAGGTAGTTTGTAAGCATGGGAAGCAAAGTAGCAGATATTTAATGCACATTGTTCTAACCTGCTGTTACCACGAGTAGCAGAAGAAGAGGCTGAAGGTTAGCTGTCTTTTTCTGTGGAGTAGCCTTAAGCTGGGTTAGAACACCAATCACAAATATTTTCCTACAAAGAGAAGCTTTAATATGGTCAGCCCAAGAACTGCCTGCATTATATGCCTCGATAGCTCAGTTATAATTGGAAAGATTCTCATGTCAAGAAAAGGAAGTATGAGCTAAAACTTCCAACAGCGGAAAGTTTGTTTACCAGCACATGGTTAAAAAGAAAATGCAACCGAGTTTCCTGTAAAAGCCCATTTCAACCTTGACATGATATGTAAATATTGTAAAAATGTAATAAATTTCACAGTATTTACCTGTCTTGATACAATGCAAAATCTAAGAAAAATAGCAGATTAGTTGATGAGAAAGCTGGCTGGGTGTGCGAAGTTGGCAGTGTAGTGTTGTTCGCCCTTGGGAAGGGACAACATGATTAATGTTCGTTGCTCTCCAGCCAAATCACAAGGCAGACTCATCAGGATATAGGTTATTCCGTGGCTTTGCTGATTTTGTATTTCTTCCTTTCCTTTACGCTCTCTAGGAATTAACATATTAAATTATACAGAAGTTAAGAGACCAGTAATGTTTGCTGCCAACATGCGAATGAGAACATTTACTGGTTCCACCACTAACATTGCAGGAAAAGTGTGACAGCTAGAGAGGAGGGAGGAAGGAACATTTTTTTATAAAATGAGGTTAAAAGACTTGAATTCAACAATAAATTCAATTTCTTTTCTTAGTCACGCCTTAATTGTGCTGAGGCAGGAGGGGGAAACTGAACAGGAGAGAACGCAGAATCACTTCAAATGAAGAGTGCCGTAACCAAACAAGCCACTGTTTCTGCGCAAGTTGCCAAGACCTGCTAGGTCAACTGCAAATAACTTTGTTTACTTCACTGGCAGATCCTCTTCTAGGAGAAAGTAGTAGATTGTGATTGCTTCCCAATGAGAATAAACATTCAAGTCTCTCCTGGGTTGCTTGAGAACACGTATTTTTCAATAATGCAGTTTTAGTGTGGAGGGAAGTTAATGACTCAAAACTGGAATTTGGATGAATCCTAAATGTTGAAATAATTTGGGACTTCATGCACCATATCTTTCCAGTATTAAAAAGTCCTGCTTTGACCTGCACATGCCACTTAGACATAGTCTTTTTTCATGGCTCTATACAGTGAAGTTGCTAAGAATCTGCAATCGCTGATGATGGCCACACTATGCTGGAGACAGGCCCCCTTCCCCAGCAACACAGAGCCAAAAACACATTCTGTTCTCCAAGATTCTTAAATTCTAAAATCTCCATTTGTAATGACTAAAGAAAACTATGGGGCATGCTTTCCATACCCACGCTCTTAAATGTGTTTCCACACCAAGCTGGGTTTTAGGCTCCTGGAATTGCAGCTGCCCAGCTCAGCTTGCCTTCCTTCATACAATATCTCCTCGCTGCCAAGGTTTTGAAGATTGTGGAGAACATAGATGTGCAGCAGAAACTCAAATTGATGTCATAGATAGAAGCCGTACCTGGTCTGGGTAACAGATTAACTGGATAACGATCAGCTGAGCAAATCATGAAACCATAAAGTGATGAAAGAAAATGTCTCGCTAGACGTTGGAACGACGACAATTCCGCCTAGACTTTTCCCTCCGACACGACGTTCGCGCTTCTGTAGGTAAATGAATTTCGGTGTGCACGCTCTGCAGTACTGCAGTTCATCCTTTTTAGGTCCTTTCCAGTGTCAAGGTGGAATTTTTGTTTCTGCAGGACAGGTATCTCACAGCACTATTTCAAATGTACCTCAGCAGGGCACTTACCACGCTGCCAAATTTTGATGATACCACACTGGATAGAGTTATGTACAGTCTTAAAAAAATTACTCTTTAATTATCAAAAAAGGCCTGCAGATCTAGCGTGTGTGGTGGGAATTAACTCCTCCTTGCATTTCCCTGCCTTGTTTCTATGAAATTCCCAGTGTTGTTCGTATTCACAGAGTTCCTCCCAGAGCTTGTACTGGAAGCTTTGGATCCCTGAGGTCAGCTTAGAGCCCTGTCAGCCCAGAGCACGAGCTGGCTGGGGTTGAGTCTGTGCTTCGTGACGTACCCTGGATCAACCGCGAAGTATATCTACTCCTCGCAATTTTGTCTTAAATTCAGACCTGCTTGTAGTTATTTTGGCCCTTTCTCTCCTTTACCGTCATTCACTGTGGACAGAATTTCCCGCTTTTGTATTTAATTTTGTTCCATTCAGCAGACCGTCTTGCCTCTCATCTCTTTAAACTAAGAAGGGCTGATGGGGACTGCATGCAAAATCCCTCAGCGGTCAACCCTAAGAGGCTAGTGCGAAGCCAGAGCAGCAGACACCCACTATCTCTAGGGGTGAATAGTCTGTATATATGACAGCTCTATTTTCTGGCAGATAGATGCAAGCTAAGGAATGTGCAGTGATTCTTAAATGTGCGCTCCCGCTGGCCAGTTTGGCTGACCAGTCTAGGCCGTGTAAACTGGTTCTGTTTTTTCTAGTGCCACATGCTTTACAGAAGCAGATACAAAACAAGCTTTACAGAAGCAGATGCAAACAAGCTTGACTAAATAACAGTGATAGACCATGTTTCTTCTTCTTCATCGGTTTGCTGTGATCTTTATTCCGTACGTAATGAGTAATTTATGACTTGCAAGAAATTTCATTCACAAGTATTAGAGGAATCGCATAATGACATTGCTCTAGTAGTCTATCCAGCAGCCCTTTCCTTTCTTTACCTTTTCTTTGTCCTGAACTGATTTTTTTTTTTCCAATTTCCACTGAGTCCAGTGGATTTTTGTGAAGACAGAGAAGGGTGATTGACCAGCGATAGTGGTGGAAGTTCCAGCTGCCGGTGAAACAAGCAGCAACGGAGATGTTCCAGGGTGGAAATTTCCAAAGGGTAGATTCGTGTGGATTTTCTGAAAACCAAATCCCAGTTTCCTCTCACATGTCTAGAGTGTTTGCTTCAAATATACAAGACCCGACATTTTGGGCTCCAAATTCAAAATGGGTGGGTGACATGCTTGTCTTTATCGAAGTTAAGATGCATATTTAAGCTGACGCACGGACTGGAAAGGACTTCAAGCAGGAAGCAGTTGAGACTGCAGCGACGGGCAGAGCGCAGCCAGGTTGAAGTACTCGTTGAAATACTCTTTTTGTACAAAGTGCAGGGGCAAACTGCCAGGAGAATTACCTCAGTCTATCTTTAAGATAAGAGAAACAGAACTACCTCTGAAAGTCCCGTTTGAAATACTTTGCTTAAAATCCAGAGGG